TTTATAATAATATATAAGTTTTATAAATATAAATTTAACCTGTCATATTTCTCTGGGAAAGAGACTTGGGGATGTGGACAGGATCCAAGGGGGAATATCAAGGTGGAATGTGTAGGCGTCGGGGGGTCAAGCAAAGAGGACGAGAGAAAAGTGGAAATGAATTTCACCATCTGTTTTGCTTAGACATGCTCCTAACTACCTTTTGTTTCAGAAACTGGGGTTACTAAAGCGATTTATTCAATCTGGTGGAGGAGACAATTATTCGATGTGATGAACTCTATCGTCAAGGCACAGACAGATAATGGGAATCCACCTGTGCTTGGGGAGAAATGGGCATTGGGATATGCTTCATAAGAGAGATGCTGAATCTATCGTTTAGAAGAGGCAGGCAAGTCATTTTAAGTTAAAAGCATTTCCCTGAAGACAGAGCAATTAGTGGCTATGGGGAAGGTGGAGAAAGGAAGGCTAATGATGAGACTGCAATTGGGCAGATTGTAGCCAAGCTATTCAGGGCCTTGGTCAATTCTACAGAGTGTTTGCATTATGTCCTAAAGCAGATGAAATCAAAGGACTAGATCTAGACTTGTACAAGTTCATGGGCTGCACTGTGTCTGGAAGGACAGGGAAGAAAAAAACAGGATGCCAATTTGGCAACTGCTGCAGAGCCTGGATGGATTCCTGACAGGCTACCTTTGAGCAAAGAGAGAACAAAGAGGGAAGCAGATGCAAAAGACTTAGCAGCCTGAACACTTAAAGACTTGTTATATTTCTCCTTTGGGTACTGATAGAGAAAAGTCAGAAACTACTATGAGACCTTTCCTAAAAGTCTCGTCTCTCTGTATGAATGTAGGTATACATAATAAATAGTGTGTAATAAACATCTCATGAATATTTCTTTAGTATGCACATATTATGTTAATTTTACTGAAGATAAAAGTTTTTTAAAAAGAGAGGGGAGGCAAACAAAAAAAGACCTTATTCTGAGACAATCTTGGAAAACAGTTATCTATTGAAGCAACTAAAAGTACACTTAAAATAATTCCAGCCTACGTAAGTCCCTGTTTTATTCCTTCTTCTCTGACTACCTGGTCTTATTTCCTTAAATGTGAAATACATATTTATCAAAACTCAGATTAGTTTTTATCTCCAAATGAAGCCAAATGAAGTTTTGATGGCCACCCTCTCTGCTACGGGTCTTTTCACAATATAATTCTTTTCTTTCCCAGTTGAATGCACCTAAGATTTTGATCACATTTCTATTAACCTCATATGTTTCACTGTTGCGTGTTGTGTTACTTTTTGTTTGTCTACTTAACATGCACTGAGGCTTGCTCATTGTGAGGTGTTTTAGCTGAACACAGTGTTTAGAACTATGGTAAGTGCTCAATTAATGTGTGGGATGGAAATAGCATGTATAAGGGGGATAAAAGGAAACTTTAGAAATAAACACTACCCTGGTGATTTTCTTTGATAACTTCAAGATAGGTGGTATCTAGTAGGGAAAAGACTTGGCATTTGTCAAATGCTGACATGATCTCCAACATATATTACAATTCTGGAATTTGGTAGAGAAAATTCTAGAGAGAGGTCCATGGAGACCTCAAGGTTTTTTCTTGCTTTAAATCTTCTTCATTTTCCCTTAAAGGCATTTGTAGACTGGGTATAGAGACCCAGTAACCCACTCCCACTGAACAAATGAGAGAAAAGGGCTCCTCCTATGTAATTGAATTTTTAAAAAATGAAGGAAGGAAGGAAAGAAAGAGAGAAAATTTCTTTTAGACAGGCACAGAATTTTGGCTGAAGTTCAGCCACATACCTATTCTAACTTGAATTTGGGTATAGCCCTAATAATTACAGTTACTCTTTAGAAAAAGAACCCAAGAGGTTTACCTAGAGATTTTTTCCAGATGTAAGCAGGTTTGTGAGAAGCGCAGTAATGAAGATGTAAACCGGATGAGGCCATTTAGTGCCCCATAGTCTTCTCTGCAATTGCTCGAATACTAGGAGATGTTCCCCAGCAATCACAAGGATGATGCAACACAGTCATCTAACAAACACCAGATGCCTGCTGAGCCCTACAAGCTGTAGTGTTAAAGAGAAAGGGGGTGAAAGACCAAGTTTGAATGCCTTTGCAGTTATCAATCTGTCATGAATTGTAATCAAACAGAAAGAAACCTTTTTATTCCTTGTGTTCCTAGGATGGGCCCATCTTATGCCCTGTAGACCTGCTTGGAGCATGGGTAGAGCTTACAGAATTCTGTCCCCTTCATCCGATCTCCAACAGTGGATTTTCAATGACGGTGACTTTGGATGGGAAGCCCATCTCCATCCACAGGATTCTACATCTTTGACTGACCAATTTTTGGGCCACACCATGAGGTGCTCAGGGCCTATGCTTCACGGTCACTTCTGCTAGTGCTCGAAGGATCACTCAGTGCTGGCAATCCTGCATGTCAAATGTGAGCTATATTCCTGAACCCAGAATATACTTTAAAAGGGCAAACTGCAATCAACTTAAAAGAAATAATATTAACACATTCGCTCCACTGCAAAATGCACCTTCAACTGAACCCTGTCCAAATAGCCAGGGTCTACATCAGAGGCAATTTATTGTTTCGTTACAAGCACAGACTTTGAAGCCTTTGAACAAGCTGGCCATGCTCTAGCTTTGCAACTTGTCTTTGAATTGTTCTGAGCATTAAGTCCACCAACTGTAAACGTGGGATAAGAGCCCATGTCATATGAGAATTAACAGATCAAGCTTCTGAGTGATAAAAGTTATCTAACACTCAGTATCATTCCAAAGAATACCTGAGATGAGATTATAGACTCTCAACTCTCTCCTATGGTAATACAGACAACTTCTCTTTGCTTTCTGATTTTTCTGCATCTTATTCCGTTATATTAAGTGCCAAAGTAAATACATCCTAATTATTAGTTGCTTAGCCTGTGGCTTAGTCCTGAAAATCTCTCAGGATCCCACCTAAGCTGAAGGATAATATGGGCAAGTATATGTTGGCTGAGGAGGCTGCAGGAGAACTACAAATTTTGGAAAAAGAATGGCTAAATCAAAGTTTACAATTCTCCTCCCTACAATTTTCTTGTATCCACAGTCAAACTGGAGTTAGTATGGTTTTGTTACAAAGCTAAAAATTGGGGAAAATATTTTTTCTCACAAAAGCCTGAGAATTTGACTTGATTCACAAAGCTCAGACGACTATGCCCTTCTTCTGTAATGATTCCATGAAAATCCCTTACTCACATGACAGACTTCCAGGAGTTTTAGAGTCTGAGTTTGCATTGTAAGAAGTCAGTATGGAATATAGGAAAGTCTGATCCAAGGACAACCCTAACTCAGCTGGTTTTTCTCTGTTGGCATCTTCTAGAAGTCATTTCAATTTTAATATCAAAGTTAAAAATTCAGACATGATTGGGTTCCTGGCACCTTTGTACAAATTTCTTGATGAATTGCTAAATTTCTTTTTACCACCATGATAATGATGATGAAAAATAGAGGTGCAAGGAAATGGAAGAGAAGTGAAAGATTCTGTGGAAATGCATGCAATGTCCTACTTCGGGACATTGCAGAGCGGCAACATCCACAGACAGCCTACAGTTCCAGAGATATGGGTGAGCATCACAAGACACCCCAGCTTCACCCCAGAAATACAAATGGAAGTTCAGGTGGAGATAGTGCCTGAGGACAGGTTTAAGTCAGAATGATACCAATGGGAAGTGAAGAACAAGAGTAGCTGAAAGGGAGGAAGCTTTAGGAAAAGTGTTTGATCTATTATTGCTGAAATAAAAGAAAATAGTGATGATAAAATAAAAAATTTGAAGTTATAAATGCTTTTAAAATTAATATTAATTGAAGTTTCCTCATGAAAATTCCAAGGCTAGAGTTCTCAAATGTACAAAACATGAGAATCATATAAGGGGCTTTGTAAAAGCACAAACTGCTAATGTTCCACTTCCAAATTTCTTTTTCTTTTTTTTGTTTTTTGGGGTCACACATAGTGATGCTCAGAGGTTACTCCTGATTCTGCACTCAGGGATTACTTCTGGTAGTGGTCAGGGGACCATATGGGATGCCAGGGATCAAACCCAGGTCAGCTGCATGCAAGGCAAATAAATGCCTTACCGGCTGTACTATCGCTTCACCCCCAGTCCCAAATTTCTGATGCAGTAAATTTGGAAGAGGGCCTTACTGTATCTGCAGTACGCTCCTAGGTGAAAATGATAGTGCAGTCTGGGGTCCACATTCTGAGAAGAATGGAATTGCTGTCCTGTGAATCACAGGATCCTTGGACAATGACTTAAAGAATTAGTTGCAAAAACAAAAATCCTCATCACCATCACAGTTTCTTCTACTTAAAATAAATAAATCAACAACACTACTAAAAAATACCTTAAACTTTTGAATGTCAACTATAAACAGTACTGTGCAAATACTCTCCTGTAGTGTGAATTCATCCCGAGCAACTCTGAGTGGTTTTTTTCTCCTGCATTACCACAGGAGAGAGCTGAAAGTTCCAAGGTCTATTTTCCCACCAGGCCAATCCTTTGACAAGAGTATAACTGTCCTGTCAAATTCTTTCACAGAAGCCTAGGCAGCAGCCTGGTACCATTCCTGCATTTTTATCCTTAGAATTATTATTATGGAATTCCCCGGAGTCCATTATTTTAAGCACAAAAACATACACAAGCTGCTGAAGATTTTGCTGAGGTGAGGTGAAGGTTGAATAATTCTGCAAATGCTTCCCTTTCCTCCAATCTTGCCGATCCCTGGGGGCCTTTTCAGGAACCTGGGATATGGAAAGCTGGATTCCATCGGACACTCAGAGTCCTGCTTGCCAAGGCCGCATCAGATGAAAGGTTCTCTATACAAACTAGGCTGGGGAAGGGATAAGCAAAGTCATCCTCGGCCAACTCCAATGGGTGATCCACGTCTCTGTGCTGAAACTCAGAGGAGTCTTCAAGAAAGACAAGAAAATGTTTTTTACAAAGAAATTTTATTGCATCATTTCTGTAATACAATTAACATAAGAAAAAAGTTTTTTTTCTTATGAAAATTCCATGTCATTTTCCAAAAGGTTTGATTGGAGAAAAACTATTACAAAGTTATCCAAGACAAAAATATCTGACCTTCAGAACAAATGATAATCCCTTTCATTATATTCTGCATTTAAAGCAAGGCATTTCAATTCAATTAACATGGAAAGGTTTTAAATTGATATGTCATGTGCATTAAGTATTTAAATGCATCTAAGAAGTGAAAAGTTTAAACATATGAAAATGTTCTCTAATACAGTATACACAGCTGTTTCCTTCAGATCCATTCGGCATCACTACATTGACCTACATTTTACACACCAGCAGAAACCTGCATTTTTGAAGGTGCAGTGAGGGCCCCACAGCAGAGAGGTAAAGAGTCCCATGCAACTCCCACAGATCACATACACCTCGCCATATTGACTCAGTTCATTGCACTCCATATCCTGCAAAAATAAATCTAGTGCTCGACAGCTGACATTATTGCTCACTGACGTTTTGGTAATATATTTCTTTAACATAAGACAGAAATATACTGAAATTTGAGACCACTTAAACTCTAAAGCAATCTGGAATTAAACCACATGCAAACACTCCACTTTTTTTTTCAGTAGATGTTGCATTTTTCTTAAAGTTCCTGCTTTAAAACGTGGTAGAAGGAAAACTGGCTTTCCTAAAGAAAAAGACTGAGGATTTTTTTAAAAGGTGTTTTTTTACTATTTTCTTGGTTTTGGGGCCACACCCAATGGTGCTAGGTGCTTACTCTTGGCCCTGAACTTAGGGGTCACTCCTGATGGTGCTCAGAGACCATATGCAGTGCCAGGGATCAAATCCAAGCTGGCCATGAGCAAGGCTTTACTTGCTGTGCTCTCTCTCTAGACCTAGAAAAGGTGTCTTCTTTTTTTTTAAGAGCAATCTCAAACTCTCAGATAAAACTGAAGAAACAATGAGGACATAAGAGACTATGGAGAGAGAAGTCCCTCATCTTGTCTAACCCAACACTGTGGCTTCCTTTCATGAACCAGGAGTGAGGCTCCACTCCAGAGTCAAACCCAAAGAGAAGGGTGCTGTGCACACCCTCAGGATGGGATGCAGATGGAAACTTAACTTCCTCAAAAACCTAGTTCTTTAAGCTTCCCCCACAGAGGATCCTCAGGTGGTTGAGAAATGTTAGGGGTTCTTCAGTGAGAACAAAAAAGGACTTGGCAAAGTTGGAGTATCTGTAACAAACAACCTCACCAGAGTGTTTGTAGAGACACAGATGAGGACAGGAATACACTAACATTTTAAATTGTCACAACTTTTCATTTCACTCTCTTTTATTTTGTTAAAATTGCCAACAGTCCTTTTTTTCTCTGTCTGTCTCTGTCTCTGTCTCTTTCTCTGTCTCCCTCTCTCTCTCTTTAATGCATGTATGCACAGGAGTGGTTTCTCTTGATTACAAAGAAAAATAATATCAGATTTGTAAAAATACTTTTAAAAACCCTGCATTTCAGAATTAGCATTCAAGACTCGAAACAAACACAGTGTCCACAAGTCACAAGCTTCCCTTCAGCCATTGGTGCAGCAGGTCTTGTCCCTCCTAAAGGCAGCCGTTCTACTCTCTCACTTTCCCCACCTTGAAGTGTGTCATCCCCCAGTTTTATTTTCTACAGTGGAATCACCAAAATGCCATTCTAGCTCTAGCTGATCTTAGATGTGAAAGGACGCTTGGAAAACGCAATGGTAGGTATTCTTGCGAACTCTGCTAACCAAGCAGTAATGTTTACCTTGCCACAGCACTGGGCGAGACCGTCAGATCTGGCAGTAATTTAACATAAGGAAAGATTTTAGACCTTCACACTCTTTTAGTGAGAATAAACCACCTTAGCTCAGACTTTCCACAAGGCTGAAAAGTCGCCAGAGATTTTAGTTCATCCTCATCTAAGCTGAATCCTGCACAGGACCCTCCCTGGCACGATCCTCCCAGGTCCTTACCATGTCCTGAACATCCAAGCTCTCGTCTCTATGCTGAGGCGCTTTTGATTTTCATATCTGAAGGCCAAGTACCAGCTGTCTCTAAAGCAAGGCAGTGGGGGAGGGGGACGTGGTGGAATCTCAAATGCAGCTATATGCTTAAAAAAAAACCACCGAATGATACTTCTTGAGTGGATTATGACAGAATTTTTCCAAAGCTATCTTCATTGACTAAAATTATAAGCTGCTCTTAGTCTATAGCAAAATATATGGATGGCCAGGATCTCTATTTAAGCAAAAACAAAAAAAAGAAAAAATATCAATAGCACAAATATGCCCTTCTATGTTTTGAAAAAATATATCTTAGACAATTTTTGACTTTCATTAACAAGCTTTGCATTAAGTACACTTGTTCCCATCCATCGCCATGACTCTACAGCTCCTTCTTATCGGCCTGGGCTGGGCAGCCCACCACACTGTCCCCATCAGCACTGCTACTTCCTGCAGGTGTGAAAGACAGTGAAGCCGAATTGATGCAGTATCTTTTCCCAGTTGGACGAGGTCCGTCATCAAAGATGTGCCCCAGGTGAGCCCCACACTGAAAAAGAAGAGCAAAGTGTAAGAAGAAGTATGTGTACATTTGACTTTGAGATATACATACAGCAGTTTAAACAAATGACCAGCTTGTAGAGAAATGATGGACACCATCATGGATGATTTCTAATCTGCCTGTCAATGGCTGATGAGATGGTTTCTGGCAAGCTTTGCACCACATGCTGAAAATTCAAAAGAGAAAAAACCACTAGAATTGTGTATATCAGAAATCATTTAAGAGCCACTGTATTTTTCGATCCGTGAAGTCTCTAAGCCAGCTGAAAAATGACAGCAGTAATTTTATGAATTGAGTTGACCCTTGATCTCCCCTTGTAAGAAACATGGCGGGATAAAATCTCTCCCCACTGGCATTACTTTTGGCTTTGGATGGGTGGGTTTCAGATATGCAGAAGTCCACTGTAAAAGATACTGTTTAACTGGCCATGACGGAGGTGATGTTTGCTTTCATGGGTAGTAAAACTTAACATCAGACAAGTGTTGGATGTTCATGAAACCTAGCAGAGCAATGGCAAGGTGTGATAGATTTATGTCATGATCACCAGGGCAGCAAGTGCAGCAAATGGAAATGTCTCAAGCCCACACAATAGATTTCCCCCCCTAGCTTCCAATAGGTGGGAAGCCATGATGGTTTTTATACCCAAAGAACTAAGTTATTTGGAGAAGTTCAAAATTGTTTAAATTAAAATCCATGCTACTGACTATACAAAAAGCAGGGGAAGAAGAGGTCTAGAATCAGACAAAGTAAGAGGTAGGATCATGGTTTGTGATGGTGGTTAAGATAAATCCAGCACAGAGACTCCAATATGGTCCATTGGCTGAGTCTAGCCTTCAAAGAATTGGTCTGATACTGGATATAATGTTGCAAATGGCTCCAGGATATTACATAGGTCATACTCACCCATCTCCACACATCCCTCTTCCTGTTTTGTAGAAGGGACAAGGGTGAAGGAAAGGGAGATGTCTGTGCACCAAATTCAAACACATTCTGAAAACACGTCCTTTGTTATGTAACAAAGAAACAGAAGCCTAGTACAAGGAATTTCATCCATTTATTGAACAGTATTTATGGAGGGTCTGCTCCACGCCAGGTACTGTTTTCGACCCTGCAGACAGAAGTTCCAATTGCTGCATTCAGGGAGTTTACATGTGAGTGGGGAGAGAGGCAATTCACAGAAAGATAGTGAAGAGAAAGATGGCAGGTAGAAATAAAGTTTAATGAAGGGAGATAAAAGGGGAAGCCAGGGGGAGGCCTCAGGGTTGGGGCTGCCACACAGGCAGAGCCCCCTGGCAGCTTGCCTCAGAAGATGCTGGAATAAGAACCTGAAGGAATGAAAGGAGGCGGTATTTACAAGTGTTTCAAGCAGATGAAAGAACCACATTTTACAAATGAGCATGCAGCATAAAAGGCAAAAGGACGATTTATTAGTTCTTTCCAAAACAAGAATTTGGTATATAAAGACACTTATAAATTAAAGAGTAATGACTTGTAACAGGGCAAAGATACCAAGTGGAGATGATGAGAGAGAAGAGATGAAGGAGGATAGTTACAATGGAAAAGACTAGAATCTCAGTTCATCCACTGTAGGTGCCAAACACAGTTCTCCAGGGATCTCTAGTTAATAAATAGCACAAATAGCAACTTCGCCTATGTGGCACTTCCATGTTATAAGGGCATTCTCATTTTACTGCCAACATACTGTGTCAGATTATTAAAGAACTAAAAATGAACCCTGAACTGATTTGATCTATTGCCTGGAAAATAGAAAACAGACCTAAAAAACAAATCTTGCGTTATTTTACCACATTCTACGCAGGTTTAGGTAATATTAAGGTTGACAGTTCAGATTGCTTTTCCTCTCTATAAACAATGGAGGCCAAATTTTCAGACATGAGAAGCTAAGATGCACTAGCAAAAATATATATGCTTCCCCAATGGACACAGGAAAACACCCATTTCTGTCTGCCAAAATGGTCAACGTGCAGGCCCACAGGAACCAGTGCTCTCTGTGACCAGTATGTGTGTGCAATTATTGATCTCACATGCAGCTCTGCCACTTTGATCACAGCTTCTGCGAGGTAGACTTTTCACATAAGAGCTACAGAGAGGCTTTATTGGCTGTTTTGTTTTTAAATAAGAGACTAGCTATCTGGGCAAAATAAACGATGCTGCCTTTATTAATTATCTCTTGGACAAACTTTTAAAAGAGTACTGTTTCACCTTATTCCAAAACTAAAGCCTTTTAGTATATACTGGACATTTAGAGTAATTATATGGTCATTATTTCCCAAATCATTTGAAAAGCCCCCAATCTGAGTAATTCAATCTGTTGAACTGAATTGGTTTTTGGTCTGTCACCGTATTTTGCTGATCTGGACCTAGTCTTTTGGTTAAAAAGAAAGGAAAACTCTGATTCTGATTGTGTTTCATCTTGGAAAACTTAGAACGGGTAGGAGTAGGAGATGGGAAGAGAAAGGAAGAAAAAATACACTTTTTATAAAAAGGAAATACAAATAGTTTGCAAATAGTGATCTAGGTAAATTCTCTGAAAAAATGTGACTCCCCTAAAATTGATAGAAATGGCTGCGTGAAGCTGGCCAAAGGATGAAGATTTGACCAGGCTCCCACAACTAAATGGAGAACAAGCATAGCCAGGTGTTTGGTAATCCCTGTGCCACCGCAAGCAAGCTGCAAAGCTCCAAGGCCATTTGTCTTAGGGACAAAGAGGGGCACCTGGGCGTCCTCCAATCTCCCTGTTTCCCAATTTCTTTTTAAAAAGTACACAGGCCCTGAAGTCTCCTCCCCAAGAGAAGCGCACATGGAGACCATTCTTTCCAGCTTCTCCCCTTGGCCAGAGTCTGGGATGATGAATGGAAGTTGTCAGTGATGCATTGTTCCTTCAGCCGCCTGCGCGCCTGCCTCCCCTGCCCCTCCAACTGGCGATGTGTGGGGCTCTCTCTCGGCACACCTGGCTGTAACGGAAACAAACTGGCTGCCTGATGAAGAAATCTCTGAGACTTGCTATTCAGGATTTATTTCAGGGTGTGCTTTTTGGGAGTTAGCTAAAACATAGCCATGCTATTTTTTATTTTACAGGTAAAATACAAACTGTAATTGAATATTTGTGCTCTCCTACTGAAGAAGTATGAGATAATTATTTTGTTCTGTTTTGTTTGGATGGGGGTGAGTTGGGGGCAAACGTACAGAAGACCCACAGCCTCTCCCTAGCATTTCTTGGCAACCAAGCAGTGGGCCACACCAGCAGTATTTGGCGGGGAAGTGGTGAGGGGTTTTCCAGAACCACACCCTTTGATTCCTGCAGGACCATGAGGTGTTGGGACTGAACTGGGGTTCAGCTGCATCAAATGACAACCCCTGCATTTCTCCTCCCAACCCCCCCAGACAACTGCTTAAATTTGTTTGGTTTTGTTCTGTTTGGGGGATCCCTACTGGCAAAGATCAGGGGCTGTATGTGGTACTAGGGACTGACTGAGTCAGCCACAGGCAAGTCACGCATCATGGCCACTGTACTATCTCTCTGGCACTAATTGTTTAATTTTTTTAATTTCCTCAAGAATCTTTTCAAACCTAAGACCCCCCCCCCAAAATCAGAAAATTTGGCAACTTACCATTCCAAAGAGAACTAAGAGAAAACGATATCCCTCTTTTTAAAAAGTGATGGAGTAACAAATTTAACATAATTCCTTAAAATCTGACTGCAATTCTCAGTTGTGCACATAAGAAATACAAATAATGCATTCAACACAATTGCATATTTCTGTACTTATGTATTTCCAACTGACCTAGAGGAATTTCTCCCACTTACTCCTAGGATGTTGGGAACTTTATTATTATCATTTTCTCTTAAGTGTTTGATCTATAAGATGAAGCACTTTCAAAGCAGATCTTTTACACTAAGGCACATGGAGTGGGATGAGAGGGAAAAAAGTTTTAAGAAGAAGAGCAATTTACTTTGCCAGTAGTATCCTGTTTTCTCTCCCTGTTATTGAAGACACTTGTGTGTAAGTAAGGCTCTTTTCCTCTGTGCTTGTGATATTAATCTTTTGCCAAGGAAATGATTGTGAAGTCACCAGTCTAGCATTATGATTTTACTGAAAGATCAAGAAAAAGAGAGATGAGCTGTGAGTCTGAAACCCTATTGTAACCCATGGGCATCTTTAATCATCAGCAATATATGAGTTGTCATCTGCAAAAGATTAATAAGGTTTGGGGGGTTTACCAAAAACTGCTTTACTTTTGAAAAATACTTTGTATTGGGAGATATTTACCTTTCTGTTGATTTGGTGGACTGGGAACAAATTAATAATGATCTAAAACAAACTTAAGGGACTCTACCATTGACTCCAGCAGTAATAGCAAGAGTCATAAATAAACCTCAAGTTGGGTAAACTCAGGGATCTGATGGTTTTCTTAAAGATTATTAGGCAAAGCTAAGTGATTTATTGGACCCCCATTTGCAGCAGATGTAGAATTTTGATCTAAAGAAGGAAGAATTCCCAGAGTATTTCAAGGAAGGACTTACTTCATGGAATTACAGCTTAAACCATGCAAATATTACCTCTTTTCACTGAATTTAAACTCCTGACAAAGTGCTATTTAACAGGCTAGGGTTGGAGGATTAGGGAGAAACTATCAAACAATTATTCATAGTAGTCAGTGAAATGGAAATAGAAGCAATGTATTTTATCACTAGTTAAAAAATGTAAGTTAAATAAAATTGAGGGAAATTATTTATAACTGAAAATTATTAGGAAATTGCTACAACTAAGGAAAAATATTTGTGCCCATCAAAGTAGGAAAATTCTAAACCTTCTTGGAAGAGGTAAGTGGAGTATAATTCCTGATGTCAGTATGTAGAATAAAAAAAAACATGGTTACAGTAAAAACCAGAAAGTAATAGCACAGCCCATTCTTTCTACAGTCAGGAATTACAATGAAGTCAGTGAAGAATCCCCACCACCCTGCCTGTTTTCTGGACTATTAACTCAAAGACCGAGTCTATTAGGTCTCTTCGCCCTGAGTTCTTAAGAATCTGACTGCAGTATTTCTGAAAAGTTATGACCATACTGATTCAAACTTAACTTTCTCAGAAATATTTTTACTAAAATCATATTCAAGAGGCCAGGGTTAGAGGATTAGGGAGAAAGTATCAAACAATTATTCATAGTAGTCAGTGAAATGGAAATAGAAGCAATGTATTTTATCACTAGTTAAAAAATGTAAGTTAAATAAAATTGAGGGAAATTTTCAGGGACACCTGAAAAGTTTACAGTGGGGGAACCAGAGACAGTACAGCAGGTAGGCCCCTTGCCTTTCATGTAACCACACCCTTCATTCCTCGGCACCCCATGTTTTATCTGGATCTCTGAATGCAGATGCAGGAATAAGCCCTGAGCTTTGCTGGGTGTGACCCAAAAAATAGAATCAAAACTGAAAAAAGCGACAACGAAAAAAGCACTATAGTGAATGTAAAAACATACCGCAGATTGTGTCTCTTAAAGCACATGTCAATCCTACCCAATGTGAGGACAAGTATATTGCATGCTATAATCAATATCATAATTTTTAATTTGGGAGCTACACCAAGCTGTGTTCAGGGCTTACTCTTGGGGATGCACTCAAGGATCACTTCTTGTGGAACTCAGGAGACCATATGTAGTGCTTGAGATCAAACCTGGACCAGTTGCAAGCCAGGCAAGTGCCCTACCTGCTGCAGTATTACTCTAGCCCCTCAATATCATAATTTTTCAAAGGGAAAATCCTAACTCCTAAAGCAAGAACTGGGAACCAATAAATGTATGTTTAGCAATAATGCCAAATCGCATATATATGTATATATGTGTGTGTGTGTATGTATTTGTAGAAGTTGGCAGTAAAAGAGTCCTTACATTTGGTAAGAGTCCTTATAGTTGGTAATCTATCTTTAGCATAAAGAATTGAAAATGTAAGATATAAAAATACATAATTGATTCTTCATAATAACCAATTCAGTATAGAGAAGAGACAAGCTATGTAAATTTAAAATACATTTTGTGGGGGGGGGGGGGCAAATAGAGCTGCTCAGGACTTCCTCCTGGCATTGCTCAGGACTTCCTCCTGGCATTGCTTCCGGAGCATATGCAGGGATGAGGACTGAATCCTGGTGTGCTTTATCGCTGCACTATCTCTCTGGCCCCCCAGAAAATTACTTTAAAAGAAGAAGTAAATCAGAGAAGTTTTCCATATCATCAAAAAAGGGAAAAATAAATATGGAAGAAGTTGTGAGTAGGGAAACACAGAAGACAGAAGGACAGAAGACCAAAGAAGATAAACTGATCGTGAAATGTGTTTTTAAAACTATAAATTAAAAAGGCACAAGGTATTGCTCTACTATGAAAGCCTTTAAACCAATTATACATTTTTTTCAAGGCAAAATAAAAAAGCAAAATAAAAAGGCTGGAAGTGAAAGATAGAAAATTAAATGATCTTTATATAATGGTCTTCACAATGGTCTTTATTGTTGTTGTTGATATCATCTCTGTGACTGGCATATAAGAAAAAAGGAAGTTGATTATAATGATAAATTTTAAAAATATTAAGAAAAAGCATAAGCAAGTTTGTAGTGGGGGTGGAACACTATTAACAAATTAGTTCAATAATTATAAGCTACAATACAAACCTAAAAACAGAAAAGATATTCAGGAAGTATTAATCCTGCCCTCCTTAGTTTTTATCAAAAATTACAAATTTCTGGGTAGATCATTTTAATGTGTTTGTATGACAGTCATATAAATATAAATATGTGTGTATAAATTCAATTACATTCAAAATTAAAATGAATAAAACTGTTCAGAGATTATGAGAATTGAGTTTCTGCCTCTTTTTGCCTTATACCTTTTGAGAAAGTAGCTATCTATCACAATCTATCTGTCTAACCTTTATCTTTCCATCTGTCTGACACCAGAAAGATGTCTGGAGCAAAAGACTCAAATTCAAGTCTCATTTCTGTGACTAAAACCAATGTGAATTTACACAAATTTAGTAGCCCTCCGTGTTCTTCAGTTTCCTCAAGTATAAAATAAGAGAATAATAGTATCTACCTCACATAAATTACATGAGCAGTGACTAGGGCCCTTTAACAAAACTGATGTTGGGGCCTCATCCAGACAAATTAAAATAGAATCTCTGGGGGTGAAACCCAGAAATACAAAGTTTCATTATCTTGCTCAGATACTCACATCTGAAAAACAAGATTATACTGAAATGTGACATACATCATATATGCATGAGTCTGCTTTTCATGGGGAAAAGTAGTTTTATACTTAAAAGACATTAAAAATTTGCCAACCTTATTTTTAAAAAGGAAAAGAAAAGGAGAGGAAATGAAAGAAAAGAAAAAAAGAAAAGATATGAAAAGAAAAGAAAAGGAAATAAAGAAAAGACAGGAATGAAAACAAATTTGTCAGATGGTTAGGTTCAAACCAATATCCCTCCCTACTTGGCAGTAAATATGCCACCTACTCCCTAAAGACCTGTGCCTGATGAAGGGGGTCAAAGGGCAGGCAGAAGAATGCGAGGGGAGGCCCACGTGGAAATCACTTTGATTACAACTGCCTGGTTGTGCCCCCTTTACCTCAGTCAGACACAAGCAACAGATATCACCCAACAAAATATTCTGTATGGGTCAATTTCAGGGCTCAGACATGCAGGCTCTATACTTGAATTTTTTTTAAAGCAAAGTAAAGCACCATTAAACAGAACCTTCGGTGGGGAAAAAAAATCACCTTCCATCGATTCAATGGGCTTTTAGGGCCTATGAAGGTTTTGTTATGTAGCCATCCATAATCTGACGTTTACATCACGTCCCGTTCACTGCAGTTCTGTGCACCCACTTTCAGTCCGAGCTCTACCACTGGCAGTCGCTCAAACATGGTGCAACAAAGAAACCAGAAACAACTCTCTTTGGGTGACTTGAAGAGGAAGTTTGATGGTGAGTTCTAGGAAGGTGGAATGGGAGCACACGATAAGGTAGTTTCAGACGAGTAATGACATAGCTTTTCTGCTTCTCTGGCCCCTTTGTGATTAGTCACTTGAACTTAGTGGCTACCTTAAGGAGAATCAAGAATCTTTCAACAATTGGCAACATTAAGTGAACAGTGGGTAAAACTGACCTGAGAGCAGCTTGTCTCCACTCTGTGCATCCCGTAGGAAAAGTCATCTGTGAACGTGATGGAGTCGGAACTAATCACATCATGGAACGAAGGCCAACCTGAGCACAGCAGGCACAAGAACCAAAACAGAAGGGAGAGAAACAGCCTTGGGTTACAATTATATTTAAATAAATACTGATCCCAGCATGGAAATCCTTAACATATAAATCACGCTTAACTTTTTCAACCTAGATGAAAATGTCAAAAGCTAAAGAAAAATAATATGCAACCATTGCAATCCTAGTGAAACTGTTTCTTAAGAACTTTTCCCCACATCCAATTAAAGTTGCATTTGGATTTTATATTTCATGAAACTGGGTTAGACCACCCAGTGGTTTTCCCAGCACATCCCTGAATGTATAAAGCTCCCTCACCAACCCCTTCAGAGGCACTGGCATAGCTCTGATGTACCAGGAGTCTTCCAGTGTAATATTTTCCAAAACACAGTCCAATTAGTCTGGCTGTTAACTTTCCACTTATTCTATGCCTCTTTTAGGAAGCATGCTTAGCTGTACTCTCTTCTGGATAGCTGAAATATATGCAAGTAATATTCTGTTCATTCCACCTTTGTCTAATTTCTCAGCATAGGGAGTTATCTGGGAAAGCATAGCTTTGTTCTATTTTGTGATCAATGGGACTGCTCCTATCAGAGGAGAAAGTCAAGGAGCAGTGCTCCTCATAGCACCTTCTTTCTAATGGCATCTTGTTTCAATTTTCATTTATTATAAGGATTTATAAAATATGCAGACAGATTTAAGAAACTCAATGGTAAGTGGACCATAGGATTGTACAAATGTTTATGAGTGTACAGTCTGGTTTTATGTTCAGTACTTATGGGCATGTTTTTACATGTTTCCAGAAAATATGTCTGGAGTTACTGAACTGAAGCCTGCATCCCCAATATGATGAAAGAGGTGCTATGTTGCTGAATTGCTGGTACAATTTTTTTCCCTTGCAGAAGCCAAATATATTTCTGCAGAAAGGAGGGAGCCCTTTAAAACATGGTGCTTTGTGCTAATACACCTACTGAAAGAAAACAGAATGCAAACTTCAACAATATGATTTCCAGTTTCAAGCAAAACAAATTAACTCAGGCCAAGTTTTTGTAAGAAGTTCTCCAAGCAGCCCAGTCCCCTCTGTGCAACAAGATAGCCTCAGAGTCAGTGTCAGAATCAACCCACACAATTTAAATACTTTCCAATTCTGATTTGAATTCAAGGTTGCTATAGATCACAGCCTTCCAGATATAAGTTTTTAAAAATGGAGCACAAGACAAATTATTGTTCTTTAGGGGGTGACCTCTCCAGCATGTTGGAGTGGGAGGCATGGTCACTCCTGGTAAGACTTACCTGATTGTGGCTTGGGTCACCAAAGGAGTGCAAGTCACTAGGTCTCACATGGCAGTGCTCAGGGAGCTATGCTGGGCCAGAGTTTGAATTGGACCTAGTGTACTCCAGAGATGTGCCACATCTTTTTGAGTCATCTCTCGAATCTTACACTAATGGTTTTTAAGAAATTCATTTCTAACTATTTTCTAAACTCTGAAGAAAGTCTGAACATATTTCAGGGAAAGGCTATTGGTTTAATTATTACTTCACACATTCACACATTCTTTGTTCAATGATGGAATACCACAGACAACAGTGACATTTGAGAACATTAAAATAAAGTCATGTGTTTATGAAAAGAAAAAAATATTCTGTATTTTTTATGTTTAAAATTTACCATAAAGCTTATCTCCACCCCCCCATTTTTCTATCTCTAGAATTTAAAATAGATTTAAGAAAATTATATACATTACACTTATGTATAAGGTATATAATATAATGTATATTATACATAATATATATATATGCATACACACACAAACACTCAATCCTAAACAAAGCAGGCATTTAAAGCACCAACCACTTAGTATGAGTGAAAGATCCACATATAATTTATAATCAACCCTCACATATACGGTTTCTGCATCTGCAGAGTAGTATCCATGAAGGTGGAAACAATTTGCAGATAGGTGAATGAACCCACTTGGTTCAAGCCCACGTTGCTCAAACTCTCCCACCTCCCACAACTCCTTCTGAACCGTATACTTATTAGATTGGGTTTGTGACTGATCTTTTTCGATGCTTTTCTCACTGATGAGTGGCAAGCACTTAAAAGGCAGAGTTGAAGCTGAGTGCTCTCACTGCCTGCCTTGGTGGGGAGCTCATGGGCAAATTCAAAGGTTCTTAAGACTATTCCAATTAGCCGTCAACAAACAAATAGATGAAAAATTGTGGCTCATAACAGAGCTCCAGAGGAGAGAAAAAGAATATAATCATACTCCTTTTTCACAGATTAGATTAAGAAATCTTCGTGCTAATTTTCCACTGAAGTATCTGACTTGGCTCAATCATTATAATTAAGACCCTCTATGTAGGTAAAGTAGCTTAATTAGTCACCTAGGATAATAAAAACATGGAAACTATCTAGGTCACATGTTTCTTCCCATTCTGGGGTAAAGGGAAGGGTGAAGAATAAAGATAAGTTGCTTGCCAATATTATACGAGCAGTAAGAGACTGAGCTAAAAAACATGACTGTTTTGACTTTAGTCTGGGGCTCTCTTTTTATACTTCACATTCTTCTTTAAAGCTGAGGAATCATGTGGACATAATATGATGGATGAATTGTTCAAGTTTAAATAAATATTCTCAATGCCATTTCTGGATTGTTAGACTATTGCCCTTAGGAGTAGATGTGGAAGCCATGAGTATATCCTAAGATATTTGAATTATCTCACTCTCTAAAGATAAAATTGCTCAAAGGGAAAGCTCAGGAGGAACATTGCACAACTAGGGTGTAGCTCAGTAGTTGAGCATCCACTTCACATATATAGGAGACCCTAGGTTCAAGACCTGGTACCACCAAAAATTAAAAAATAAAGCAGCAGTAATGATGCTATGTTGTTTGATACATAGGTTACTTAATTATGTGAAACAACCACAAATACTTAAGGTCTCGCCCTTAAGAGTGTACTGACAAAACTGTACATGCTATTTGGGGTTTCTCATTCTAATTTTTTTCTAGAACCTGTATTTGGGTAGGAGAACTGCTTTTGAGTGAACTATGAAATAAGTCAGACAGCTATAAATTTTTGTCTCCATGAATTAAATATTCACGTATTTTCCAGAAAACTTCATCCAAGAATAGAACATGGTGATATGGGATCATATAGAATAGAATTTCCCCAAAGAATTCAATATTGTTGGAAAGTTTTTCACTGGAATTGTTTGTCACGGTGTTTCTTAAGCATTAGAATAAATACTGGATTTTGCAAGGGTGTCAAAACTATCTATAATTCACAGAGTTCCTTTGCGTTGCCAAAGTTGTTAAAGTGAAATCTGCATTTTTTTATGTGGCAAAAATCCTAATTAGTGGAGATAGACAGGAAAGTGGTGTGGAAAACAACAACAAAATTCCCTCATGCACCTCCAGAAGACAATCATGGCCACCCTCAACAGTGAGGTTAACAAAGGAGAATGTAGGGTTCTTTAGCCAAGTCTCTCAGGAAAAGCAAAGTTCTACAGAAATAGAATTCATCACAAAGGTAAGTCCTTATTGACAATCAAACCAAGAAGGACTTTCACCCGAGAATAAATTGTCTCATGGCAGAGAAGCCACAGTGATGACAGCACTTTGAAAGCGGAATTCCCTCATCATGTGAAAGTATTTAAAGGAGGAACTCTTCACTGCTGTAAAAATCCTCAAAGGAAACCCTGCCCCCACTCCTAATAATAAGGAAAGTGCTTCAAAGGGTGATAGATAGGCAAAGACTGAAGCAATCTGTGTCTTGTTGAGAAAATTATCTTGAGCAAAAAGGGGGGGGTGGTGGTGTTTATGTCAGTTTTGACATTAAAGAAAGATCATCCATCCTCCTTTTTCTAGGATTTCCCTTTTGGTCTTCTCATTTAACAAAAAAAAAATATTTGTTTTGGATGCATTCCATGCACTCTTTAAAAGAAAAGTCATGTGAAAACCTGTATAAACAGAAATGACTGGCTCCACCCCCAAAATATCCCTTTATTTCTATTTGATGAAGTTGAATTGGAGGCTGTTATCATTTTATTTCAAGAATGTAAATTGTAACTTTTAGATATCAGTTTATTATTACCAGGAATATGTTACTAAGTAAACAGACTGTCCCCTCAAATAATTCTCTACTCCAATCAACAAATAAATGCAGGTACTGTGACTAAAAGAAAAACTGGAACATAGCATTTGATTCAGTTTTATCAACATCAGGCAAAATAATCTGCAGACATAACATTACTGATACTGATACTGTAAAGAAGTTCCAGAATGTTTGTTTACATCTCAAACATAGGAGCAAGAGATTCAGCTTAATAGAGATTCTTGGGGTTTGCCACTGTCTACACTATAATTATTTTTTTAGACCCCAGTGTGATATTCTTTACACACATAATGTAAATTTACAGAAAAAAATTCAAGACTCTCCATAGTTCACATAAATTCCTTCCCATAATTCCTTCTCGAGAAGAAGACTAGGCCCTACTTGGATCCCATTATGTAAAGTGAAACTCTTCTCAAGTAGCATTATATTGACCAACGTTAAATGTTTCACTCCAACTGCCTCCTAAGAAAAATGTTCTCATCTCTCTAACCACCATCTTTCCCTCCTTTCAAAACTCTCTAAATCAAGTTGTTTAGCATCAGATTACAAACAATCCTGTCTGTAACACATCTAGGAAAGTAACCCTCATTCTCTTACTCTTACATTAACAACACCTTCTATTCCGCTTTCACATCTCCTACATCCCCCCCCCACCCCAAATAAAGATTAGAGACCATAATAAGTCACATGAGCCATGAATAGGTCATAGCAGAAACTGTCACAAACAGGAGTTCATTGAATTGAAATATTTTGTTAACATTTTATTATATAGTTGAAAGCTGTAGAGAACATATCTTAGAAGTTCTCATGAGCTTCAATAAAAAGATTTGTTTTTAGCTATTCATTGTGGCAGATGTTAATTAGACATACTGTAATGATTACTT